CTGGGTGGGCCAGGAGGGCAGGGGCTGGGGGGGGGACAAGGGGACAGGGGGGCTGAGAGGGTCAGGAGGGCAGGGGCCGGAAGGGCCAGGAGGGCAGGGGCAGGGGTGCCGGAGCTCCAGGCTCACGCGTCTAGACCCGGCCGGTGGCAGAGACGCGCTGAGCCCGCCCGCGAGCAGGAGGCTGACTCGAGTATAAGCCGAGGGGGGCATTTTTCAGCACAAAAAATGTGCTGAAAAACTCAGCTTATACTGGAGTATATACGGTATTACTTTTACATTTCATGAAATATTCTGCATTCCACTCTGCTTCTCAGAGATTCATTTTCCTAAATTAAGGTCTAAGTTTGTTCATGTGACAAAGCAAGTTTATTCGCTGTACTACTTAGGGTTGTGAAGGACTAGTCAACTATACGATAAGCAAATGCTTATCGGATAATCAACAGGATAGTCGACTAGTCGCTCCCCCTCCCCCCCCACTGCCTCTATCAAATAGTGTGAATTTACAAATCTATATTCCTGTTCTCCAGCTGTATGTTGATGTCTCATTTTGAGGAGCACAAAGTTACAGAAGATGAGGAGCCTCCCACAGAACAGGACAAAAGGAAGAAGATGGTAAGTTCTTGATATATTTGGTGAAATGTTTAAAGTTTTAATTAAATACACTAGTCAGCCTTAAATCTTTGCCACTGGATTTGGTTCATCCATTGCTGTCACTTCTTATATGCTTGGAAAACTCTGCTCCCAACCTAAAAGATCAAAGACCTTTAAGACAAACTGCATAGCACAGACTTTTGCTTTTTTTCACACTCTAGGAAAATGCTGCCAAAAGTGATGGGGGTGGGGAGAAAGCGAGAGGGGGTTGGGGGGAAACTCCAACATTTCTTCCGGTTTTTGCTTTTGTCTCAAACAGGAACATTATTAAGGTTTTCCAAATATTTAGTCTTTCTTGCAGAAAAAAATTAGAACTTGAAACATTTTCTATCCTGTAGAACAGAAGTGACCATTTATATTTGTAATGATTTGTTTAATTCATATTTTGTTCTTTTTTTGTTAGCAAGCCAACATTTTTTATAAACAATTGGCTTTCCTGTTTTTGGTATACAGTTTTCAGTTTCCTCCGGTGGTTCTTAATTTCCTTAAATTGTATGCTAAGTTTAAGTAGAGCTAATTAGTGCTTTAGGTCAACTTTTTGCATATTAATCTAGCTAAATCCACTTTTCATTAAGAATGCAGTATCCCTAATTACAATAATCCCATTCCGTTGTTTTTAATTTGTATTTTTAATTATAAACTTCTGTAGTTTTTTAAAATGAATTAGAACATACTCATTTTAAAAAAAATTTCACAATCCACAGAGTATGCTATACTGATACATAGCATATTTATTGTATCATTTGTGATTATAACAATCTGTTCACTTTAATAGAGCCAAATTCAGTAAGAATGTAATGCTTGTAAATTGTTTCAAGACCTGTTTGCGACAAAATTCTATGTCAAGTGCTGCCTTTTTGGTAGCAGATACCCAGACCTAACCATGGTAGTTCAGGATACATTTGCTGATACATAAAATAATCTACATTTTTCCTTCCTATTAGTCTTCCTCTTTTATTCCAAATTTTAATTTTTGTTCTTCTTCAAGTGGTTGCTCATGTCCATTCGAATTAGGTCTGTGCACCGTGTGCACCGCGTCTTCCGGATCGTTTTCCCTAGCAGTACCCGTAGTGCCAGCAGGGAGCCCTCTGGAGTGGTGCCGCCATGGCGGGGCATAAGTACCCCTACCGGCACTCCCCCACCTCAGTTCCTTCTTACTGCCCGTGACGGTCGTTGGAGCGTGTCTCTCTGTTAGAGCAATTAATGGTTCCCATTTCTCTTAGGCTATGTCTACACTGCAAGCCTCTTTCAAAAAAGCGCGTCTAGACTACAATACGCGGATCGGAAAATCGATCCGCTTTTTCGAAAAAGAGCGTCCTGACTGCTGGACGCTCTTTTGAAATTAAAAGCCACCCCGAGCCGCTTCTGCCAGGACATGGGGGCAGTATTTCCTTCCGGGTGCTGCTGCCTGCCCTTTGCAGAGACGCGTGGTTAAAGGGACGCCCCTGAACACCCGTTGCTCTGCTTCTGCAGCTGCCTTTGTTGTCCCTCTAGGAGGTAAGCAAGGCATTTCAGTGCTGGTTTGGAGTGCTCAGCTTCCTGGGACACCCCAGCAGGTTTTTTGTTTGGAGGTTTTTCTGTTTTAGACCCGTTTCTTCGGCATTGAGCCAGAGCTGCTCCAGGGCAGGCGATGGCCCCACGCCATCATATTGCAAGTGTTACTGCATCTGCATGACACAGTCATGAGGCTACTTCCCCATCTGGACCCAGACTAGAGGTACGAAGGGATCGTCCATCATGCAGCCCCACTGCCCTTGCCTCCAAACTTCTTCGTGGAGAGGCATTTTTGGAGGCTTAACACCAGCTCTGACTGGTGGGACCGGCTCGTTATGCAGCTGGAATGACCAAGAGTGGCTACACAACTTCGGATGCGAAAGACCACTTTCCAGGAGCTGTGTACCTGGCTCGCCCCTGCTCTGCAACGGCAAGACACCCACCTGCGGCCCGCTATCCCCGTGGAAAAGAGGGTCGCCATTGCCCTCTGGAAGCTGGCAACCCCCGACAGCTACCAATCCGTGGGACACCAATTTGGCGTGGGGAGATCTACTGTCGGGGCCGTCTTGATGGAGGTAAGTCATTGTCTGGGGACAGTCACAGTTTGGGGTGGGGGGAAGGGAGACTGTCAGGAAGGGCAAAGTGGAGTGTGAGTGGGA